CACGGATCCGTTCCCTACCCTCTACTGATGAAACATGAAACATGAAACATGACAAAACATTCCCTGCTCCTTGGTTTTATATCGTGAGTTTTTCCTTCCCTTATAATAATAAGTACTTTTCATGTAAATTCAAATACGTTTGCCTGTTTTTCCAATTAAGTGTACATTTTGTGTAATAAAAATAGTCGTAACTGTATATGTAATGTTATTCGCGTATTAACGGTCTTTAACGCAGCAGAATTATTCGGAATAAATATTTGCATTCAGGTTATCGTACACAAACAGTTAAAGAGTATTCATATGAAAGCTTTTTATTATGATATAAACCCATTGTAATAGGAAAACTTTCCCGTGTGTACGGCTTTCCTTATGTTATTAGAGCACAATTTCAATACCTGTTTGTAGTGTTTCCGAAGATAAAGGAATTCATAAACGTCAATAATAAGTTAATCGTCAAAATGGATAACAGTATTTAACCAAATGTTTCCGTACAAAAAACCAAAGAGAATTATCTATGAATTTCCTTTCAGCGGTATTAAGGAATATACAAGTTTCAAAGTCCGTCAGCAATTTGAAACAAACAAGACTGTACCCATTTTAGTCTTCGAACACACTAACGTTTTGAACTAAGCTCGTCCAATCATAATAAATAAATTTATAATATGAACATAATATTAAAACCTCATTGTACACTTTTTTCCACCCGACTTATATATGACCCAACCCTGCCAGCACAGGCAACGGGAGAAAACGGCGGGGACGGGGATTTCATCGCGTCCCCCGCTGGCCGAAAAAGCGCTTTCGCAGCGAGACGACACCTTTTTCACATTTTAAGCCTCCAAATTGATAATTATGTTAATAAATAACGTTATTAATAATTTTTTCATAAAAATAGCTTTCTAAAAATGCGTTCTCTCAATATGAATTCATTAAATCAAAAAATGTCACCCCCGTTTACACTCGTTTTCCGCTGTCGCCTGTGCTGGCAGTGTATTTATGATTTTTTGTACCTAAATTATTTATCAGAAAGTGATATTTGTCTTGTTTTGCTTAAGGTCCCCATCTGAAGACGAATCGGGTTTGGTTTGACTGACTATTTATAGTTAATACGTCAAAATTATTTTCTTGGGCTCCCCTTATTTATCAGGGTTCCTTTTCTTTATCTGCTACTGATAGCTATGTGACGCACCGGTTCCCTAAAGCGAACAGGGGGTCTCTATCATAGTTAATACGCCCGACCGCATCTAAGGGAGAACGGGGTCAGACAATAGAGCGTTGCCATACGGGCCAAATGAACGTAGGTTAAAGCTAATCCTAGGTTATTGCAAAGCTAGGATTGGACAGACCTAGATAATGACGCATAAAAAGCCAGAATTCACACATTTATTTTGCTCTTGACTTCGTTCATAACTTTGTTCTGAAAATAAGCAGTGTGTGGGATTTCGGATAAAAATTAGCTTTTTATTTCCTAGAAAATCGTATATTTGTCTATTGTATGCAAACTTCGCAATTGTGTTAGAGGTAGGGGGGATGAGTTCTCAGATTCTGATTTCGTATGTCAAGAACAAGTGAAAAATCGTTCATAAGAAAGGATCAAATTCGGGTGGGTCATAAACAACAACGACGTTACATACTCAAGTAGTAAACTGTACGGATAAGGTTAACTATTTGGATACGATGCCATCCGCTTGTGCGATTACTTGTCCCAAGTTGCCATGAGTACCTATGCGTGGGACAAAACTCTATTGTCACTGTAGTCCTTTCGAAAAAATACCGATAACTTCTCGAGGTCATGCACTCAAATACATCCGGCGTCAGTCGGTACATCGGGTTGAATGATACGTAAAAACGTCTCAAGCAAAAATGGGTGAGAACTGAGCCAATCCAAACGCGATGATTGGATCAGCGACAACCTATTGTCGCGTGCGCCAGGCTCTTATCGACTTTTACCCTACACTTGCGATGGAAGCCGTTTTTAATACTCTCATTTTGCTCTGCGTCTGACGATGAGCTAGAGAAACCAGTATCAAAAATTTACACAGCAAATCATATTCCCGAAGAACATTTTATATCATTATAATCTTATACAACATTATGGGGGTTTGGTAGATTTCAATAATTCGAGTGACCCAATTGTAAAAATTTCGCGGAATTTGTGAGATTCGAACCTATGCAGCAGGGTCGACTTTTGCACAGCGAACGCTCCAAAATTGAACTACTGTGCGCCATGAATTAAGCCACAATTTACTGCAGGTATGGAATTCACCAATACGGACGCAGTATACTTACTGCCAGACAGGACTTCCTAAGTAATTATACGCGAAATTTTCATAGTTGGGTCAATCGAATAATAGAGACGCATATGGTTTTATTATATTGCTATATTATACTTTATATTAAATGTTATTTTTCAATTTAGGACATCGGAACCTCGAGTGTTCTTGGACTGCTGAACTTTATTGCCCTGTGCCTTGCTGCAAACTATGGGCGGATCCCCAGTTTCGCCGCTGCCGCGGTAAAAAAACCTCTTTTACTTAACCACGTACTTTTGTGGAGAGCATCCGTTTACTTGCTAGCAAACATTCTTCTGCTTGAGATAAAGAGCGATAGGTTTTTTGCGTTAATCAACCCTTCCTAGAAAGACATCTCTTCCCCTGATCCTTTTCCTGGGAATTTTGAAGTAGATAATATATTTGAATAAAAGAGAAGCCTTAAGACTTTAGGAAGTTTTTTGTTGAATTATCTGTCACTTTAACATCTGTTACCGAATAATACGTCTATATATACATGTAAAAGGATAGATGGGCGCCCACCGATCGCTGCAGACGTCGCGCTGTGTCTGCAAACTCACTTTTGGGTTCCGCCAGCGACCACTCAATAGCTAGCATCAGTTTTGGCTTCCTAGCCATCATCAACATTAGAATCATCATTACCATCGTCAGCCAGCCACACCACATCACGGCGGTAGCCACCCCAAGGCTCTAATCCATGACCTTGTTAAAAAGAAGTCCAACGCCACAAAAATCACGCTATGGGCTCGTTTATCTTGCGGGTTTTTGATCGAGGAAATACATTCAGCTATATGGGCACTCACCGTTCAGTTTTTGGCTTGTAACAGCAAAAAGGCCCAAGTTTGTGAAAAATGGCTAAACACTTGCAAGCTGGACTATATGATTATAGTATACAATTTGAAAAAAGCAGTCCTAAGCAAAGTTAAAACTTGGAACGTTATATTAACAGCTCATTGTCTTGCCGGTTTTTGGTCGGGTATATACAATGGCGGTAATGTCCTTCCGCCTACTTCATTAGGCTCGAATGTGAGCTTCAAAGGCACTATGGACGGACGAGTCTGTGCTCTAATTGCTCGGTGTACGCTTATCTTCCACTGTATATTCCCGATCAAAAACCACCAAGACAACGAACTCGTGGCCCAATGGTAAGAACGTTTGACTCTGATTAGAGCGATCTTGAGTGCAAAGCTCAGGTGGGACACCAGATCGGTAAAGAGTGTTAAACTCAATGACCAAAGGCCCCGGAGGTCCCAACCCTTGGCTAGGAATGGCCATTCTGGTCTCCATTGTTCTTGTCGGATCCATTCCATTATATGTCTGAGTTCGCTAGGCGACAGCTCGATATCACTCAAGTACGAGTCTCAAGGTAGTTCCGGGACAAGTATATGTCCTAACCAGAGGGATCGGATGAACACACCAGTTCCATCATATTCACGGTAAAATGTCGTGATATATGTATATATCGTGTTCATTATCCCTGGAAGAGGAAAAAGAAGAGGTTGCAAGTGCTGGGACCAAATGTATTTGTGCTGACGTTTCGAAAACATGCTCGTTCTCATCGTCAGTGCGTGTTGCTTACTCTTCCGCGGCCTTGAATTAATGCGCCTCGCCGCGAGCCTGGTGTTGTACCCATGTGAGATGCACATGCGTTCGTTTTTAATTATGTAGCAATATATATGTATATCGTACAACCAGAAACGGTCACTCCAGTTTGAATTGGATTGCCACTTCCACAGTTTTCTACCTTACGTTTCGTCGCCTGCTATTGTTGACTTTTTTGCTCCATCTACAGTTCTTCTTCGCTGTGATGCTGGTTGCCCTAGTGGTCGAAACCGTGTTCCTCTACAACACACACAAAAGCACAGTCAGCCAGCCCAATTTTGGCAGCCCCTACGTGGGTGATGAACAATCAGTTGTGCCGACTGAAGCAATTCCAAACTACAACAGCGCGGAACGGCAGCCAAGTATTGTACCCTAGTAAGAACTGCTGTTGATCTTTTCCAGGGCTGGCTCACCTCCTAACATTTTAGGGCTCGGCAATCAGGTATACATGGCTCATATGCACGCGCCTGGAGACTATTAGTAGCTTCAAGGTTAATCCTCCTTTCAATTGTCAGGCAAACTGTTCGTAGATGAACATTGCCGACAATAGAGACGGGACCGATGGCTTTGGACTTACTAGCCTAGTATCAGCCAACTCCAGGTGGTGCACCACTTGAGGCCGGAACCCGGACATTTTGATTAGAAGGTCAACCCTCTAAAAATTCCAGCCCTGGGTTCGTTGTCTTGCCGATTTAGATCGGGAGATAGTGACACTCGTTAATAAACGTGCACCGATAGCTCACGGAACTCAGGCGTCCCGCTTCGCCTTGGGGCGCAGTTGTGTAGGTAGAGTAGATTTCCTATCTCACAAACTGTCACCCGGAATTCTGAAATGCGTTTTCGATTCAAAAAATAGTAAATACGTATGGTTTTAAAAATGACAATCGTACAGCCTCATCTCAATATATTGAGGTCACCTCAGGATGCCGGCTTTCTTATGAGATTCTTTCTGACCGCTAAGGAAAAGTGTGTACTATAAAAAGTGTTTACTTAAGTAGCATGCCATTTTTTCATTGATTTTGACTGCCTTTTTAAATTCAAATATATTTTTTAGAGAACGTGCACAAAAAATTATTTCTCGTTCTCGTTTGGTAGAAAATTACGCTTTTTTAAAATTTTATACTTCAAGAAAAAGTTTCTTTCGGTTTTAAAAAGATTTTTAATTATGAGGTTCTTTACTATTTCCAGGTGTTCATTCATAGAACACCGTATCCGTCAATTTGTTAATGCTGCCTTTACTGCATAAAATATGCTCCATATCTATTGCGGCAGTTTATGAGAACTATGTGAGATCTTCCTCAAGCTATAGGCGAAAACGTATTTTTCCTTAAATAGGATGTACACAGTGCGCAGTTTGTAAACCTTGAATTCCAGTGTAAAAGTCACTAGGTTTCAAAATTATTCGGCAATATCTAAACTTTTTAAAACCGAAATATACCCTTTCTTTAAGTGTAAAATTTAAAGAGAGCGTATTTTGCTATCAAAAAAGTACAAGAAATAATTTTGTTGTGCATGTTTTTCAAAAACATATTTGAATCTATAAAGGCAGTCAAAATTACTGACAAAAAGGTATGCTATTTAAGTAGTTACTTTTTATAGTACATACTTTTTCTTGGCGGTCAGAAAAAAGCTCGTTAAAAAGCCTGCATCCTGAAGTGTCCAAAATATGTTGAGATTAGGCTGTATGATTGTCTCGATCACAACCATCCACAATTAATATGCTTCAATCAAAAACTCATTTCAGAATTCCAAATGACATTCCATGAGATAGGGAATCCACAGTAGATGGACAGTGCCCACAGGGAAAGAAGATATTGGAATAAAAATTTCTGCCTGATTATCCGTCATCAACCAGGGGCTGCACTAACCGAGGCAAGAACCCGTGACCTACATATATGTTCTATCAGATGACTGTACAAAAGCAGTAAGAATGGCCGTTGTCTGTTGTCCGTCAGATCGATTTGCGTGATAATACATGGGACGTTTACCATGCCAGTCGATTTTGGGTACGTTGACAAAACCGCTGGATTAGTGGATAATGTTGTGGGTGTAGCTGAAGACTGAAAATGAAGGAGATAAGCCTTTCCCGTTCTTGTTTTATACTTTGCCCGGATTTGGTGTTTGAGATTGAGGTTGGGGCCATAGTTTTTTTTGAGAATGAAGATAATAAAAATCCAGAGGGCCTCATTTCAGTTAGCAATTAGGTTTCTTATTTTATTTTTGCAAAAATTGGAAGCCTATGTTCTACGGTTTGAGTTTCATATTCATGACTACGTTAAGAGACAAGGAGAGGTTCAGTAAAGAGTTGGTATTTGGATTTATTTGGGTTGGATCTGGAGTTATAATAACATTGAGATTGAGTTTGTAATTATTTATGCTCTAATATTTTAGCAAAGTTTACTGTTGTATACTTATATTACATTATAGAGTTCTATTTTTTAGGCCTTCTATACTTATATTAAAGCACCAGAGAACCTGCATATCAGGTAGCTCTCTAAAATCTCAAACACTACCCTAACTATGAAGAAAAAATTATCCAGTTTGAAGTACTCAAACACTGCTTTACTTTCTTGCATTTTTGTAGGAAGTGTCTATTTTCGGAGTCAGTGTCAAAGAAGAAACCTCATTCGATGGATGCACTAATTGTCTCCAAGAATTTTCAGAAAACATTTTATTCCACAAAAAGATGTTTTTCTATCACGCATATCTTCCTATTAGGTACTTACGTTTGCAATATCCTGCTTCTTGCCTGTGATTATTTCTTCCATTTCGGAGAAGCAGTAATGGCTGCCTTTTAACTTTTCGATAAACGTGTTTAACATACGTGCGGTTTAAATGCTATCACAAATAATAGTTATGAGTCTACCAAACTTCCTAGATTACGGGGATTACACAATAGACTTATCGTTTGCCACAGATAAACGGATGCCTAGAAGTGCAAAACGTCGGGCATTTAAATGGGCATCAGATTGACCAATAAAAAGGGAGTCGGACAGTGTATGCGCAAATGCTATTTTCTATGATGATCTGACACTACGATGGTCGAGGTTGATGAGGTCCGTTTAGTGGTCCAGCAGGCTCAAACCAAATGCACTAATTTGTGAGTGGGTGAGTTCTACTCGATGGTGGACTTTTGCTGCATCTATTGCACTTTCTCGTCCCTCACCTCGCCTCATGACAGAGTGAAGAAGATTGAAACACTGTTTTTCCGGAGGATATTTGAACAAAGCAAGCATCACGAGATTATTAGGATTTACTGACGTCATATAATTTCACGACTTCTTATTCAACTGCAAACGGTCGTTGCCTATTAATAAGATAATTTAATACCCAATTAAGAAAGGTTACACTTGATAGGCAGAGTTTAAGCTATTAATCTTCGATTGGGCGCAGGGTAGAGGAGGGGGAGATAGGTATCACACTATGACAGTTCATGTTAATTCATGCTCATGAAAGCCTGTGAGAAGTAGTTAAAGGGGGGGGGAGGGGCAGAGGACAGGGTAGCAGTCAATCCTAAGGGGGGGGGAGCGAGGAGGCTTGAGCGGGACTGAGTCTATCGACCATTGCCACGCCAATGTGAGCACATGATCACATGATCTAGCTGCTTACAGATTTCTGGTTTTCTTGTCCGCATAGCAGCGTCCTCCGCAAATCGTAGGGGACGCTCGGTCATCACCCGAAATACGACCTTAAATGCAGTCTTTTGGTCCATCGTATGGCCAATGTCCGCTGGGCACTTCGTGATTGAACTCTTAGGTATTTTATTTTCCGCCCTGAGCAATCACTTTAGCATATTTTCAGCTGACCGCGTTGCCAATTGCCTTTGCGTGCGCCCGATGTGCTTGCATCCGCAACTACATGTAAACTCATAAACACAGTTTGCTGTGGCGTGCATCGGCAGAGCGTCTTTGGTTGGTCTTACTGGAATAGCCGTCGTCATGCTTATGAATAACGATTAAGAGGCAGTTTATAGCTGAATAGGAGGTTGCGAAATTGTATGACATCAATAAATCCTGCCAATTTCGTGATACTTAAATTAAGCAAATCTGCCAAACCTCCTGAATAATAAGTCAGCCTAGTAGCCATTCTGGTGGATTCTAGACGATTACTAAAGAGATCCTGCTATGGCAGTCAGCTTGCTGCTCTGTAAAGGTGGAGTGCATATGAGCGGTAAAGTTTGGCGGGTAAAATCGATCCAAGTGTGATTAAATTCAAAATGCAGGCGTGGCGTTTGTAACTCAACTGCGGGAGCACTGGCTTCGCGTAAAGGCCATCTCTACCATGCGCGTTCAAGTCCCGCTGAACGCCGCGAGTATTTTCTCAATTGAGTCGAATTAGCTGCGAGTTATGTTGGTAAAACGGGCAGATGGATGGATACAAGATTATATGAACACTAAATTGCAATAAAGTGTAAGAACAGGCTGTCATTGGGCTATTGTCACGTGCAGCAGCTGAACCACGGCTTCTCCTTTGAGACAGCTTGGCAGATCGGCCGGGCCAATGAGAAGATGCTCAAGCGAATGGTAACGATTGATCAATCATCCGGTTGACGCGGGGGAGCCCAAAAGGCATATTGACTTGCTTACAACTATGGCGACCCCAAAGAGGTAATAGGCCACGCGAGCTCGCAAGCGGCCAACCTCTGCGCAATCAAATGCAGCCAGCAGTGAACGGGCAGGCCAAAGTTCGCGCATCCAACACGGCTATAAAAGGGGACAGGCGGCAAGACAGGCTAACACAAGACCACAAGACGCAGCAATTACAATACTCGGATGATTTAAGCGAAAAGAATTCCGAAACGTCGGTACAAGCACCATTCGGTCAAAGAAGTCGTCCCCTCTACTTCGTCTTCCCTGCGAGATCATGAACGCGAGA